CAAATATCTTAGAGTCTTGTCAAAGTTATTGGTGATAAGACCTTAAACCAATTACTCTCAATACAGACTAGAGATATCCATACACATAAAAATGTACTATCTCTGCAAGAGTTTCAAATTTTTTTCAGCACTGTTATGGCCATGTGCTTCTTTCTTGGTTTCATGAACAATCCTGAGAGAAAAATCCAAGCTCTAATGAGAAGCGGTACCACTTTTATGTTCACATAGGCGAAGTTCCACTATGTGTTCAGTTACTTGACACATTTCAGAACTTCATTAAGGGTTTAACTCAACCTCTCATTGTAACAAACAACACTGTTTATATTGCGATGGAAATTTCTCAATGTCAATGCTAACAGTCACATTACAGTAACTTGTTGTTATCCGTTAAACCCAAGACTGATGTTTTTAGTAAAGGGTTTTAATCTCATCTCTTTAGTTGCCATTCTTACCAATTCTCTCAGCAAACCTTTGGTAATTGGATCATTCAAGTTTTTACTTGACCTCACATAAAGTATAGTGATGATTCCATCTTGAATCATGTGTCTAACAAATTCATGTCTTTGACTTATATGTTTGAACTTACCATTGTAGGTACCACTATAGGCTCTTGATAGAGTTGCTTCACTATTACAATAGATGAAAATCAGAAGTATAAGAATAGGCCAAAGTTTTATATCCAATAATAAATTCATAATCCATCTAGCCTCTTTTCCAACAGTCGCCAAGGCTATGAATTCAGATTCCATGGTTGAGTGAGATATACAAGTTTGTCTCTTGGATGCCCAAGAGATCACACCCCCACCAAGGATGAAAATCCATTATGAAGTGGACTTGTTATATACATTACCGGTAATTCAACTCGCATCAGTATACCCTTCTAGTACAGTTGGATACTCACACTAGAATAAGCCAACTTCTAAGGTTCTTTTGAGGTACACAAGAACTCTCCCAACTACCTTCTAATGTTCTACGTCGAGATTACTTGTAAATTGACTGAGTTTAGTTACTACATATGTGATATCAGGTCTAGTACAAAGCATAGAATACATCAAACTTCCTACTGTACTAATATACTCAAATTGTGCAACTGCTCTACCAGAATTTTCTACCAACTTTATATTAGAGTCATATGGTGTGTTATATTCTTTAAATCCTAAATGCTTAAATTTCTCAAGTATGCTCTCAATATAATGTGATTGGCTTAATGCATAACCCCTACTATGCTTTTTAACTTTTATTCCCAATATGGTATCTACTTCTCTTAAATCTTTCATCTTGAAGACAGAGGATAAGTAGTTTTTATTTTCACTTATGCCAACTATATTAGTACCAACAATAAGCATGTCATCAACATAAAGACATACAATCACTGGTGACTTGTTGTTACCCGTTAAATCCAACACTAATGTTTTCAATTTAGGTCAAGTTACCATTACTAGTGACTAAGTAAAGGGTTTTAGTCTCATCTCTTTAATTTTCATTGTTACTGATTCTCTAGGCAAACCTTTGGTAAGAGGATCAGCCAAGTTTTTACTTGACCCCACACAAGTTATAATAATGATTCCATCTAGAATCAGTTGTCTAACAAATCTATGTCTCAGACTTATATGTTTGGAATTACCATTGTAGGTACCACTATAGGCTCTTGACAGAGTTGCTTCACTAGCAGTATATGGGGTTAAGAAGGCTAAAGAGTTGTGCATCAATAGGCTGGTCATTGATGGAGATTCAAAAACTGTGATAAAATGGTTACAGAAATGGGAAGGGGTGGCATGACAGTTGAAGAATGATTTTAGAATATTTAAATGGATATCAAGGAACATGTCAATTCAGATGGGATGGGTAAGGAGATTTGCCAACAGTTTGGCAGATAGCTTAGAAAAGCAAGGGGTTCAAAGAACATATATGTTTTGGGCACATTTGTAATTATGTACTGGGTCAGCTTACTATGTTGATTTCTTTTGTAACTTATTGTTGTATCCTAAAATATTTTAATAAATAAAAGTTTGAAAGTTATTTATCAAACAAAAAAAGATAGAGTTGCTTCACTATTATAGTAGACGGAAATTGGAATCATAGGACTTGGCCAAAGTTTTATATTCAATAATAAATTCCTAATCCATTCAACATTTTTTTCAATAGCTACTAAGGCTATGAATTCAGATTCTATGGTCGAGTGAGATATACAAGTTTGTCTCTTGAATGCTCAAGAGATCACACCCCCATTAAAGACAAAAATCCATCTAGAAGTCGATTTGTTATCTCTATTACTGGTAATTCAACTTGCATCCATTACCAGTACTGCATATGCGAAATTAAGTCTATCAGAATTACTCAAGTTGTGCAGTTGCTCTACTAGTTTTATACTAGAGCCATATGGTGTGCTATATTTTTTAAATTCTAAATTCTTAAATTTCTTAAGTATTCTCTCAATATAATGTGATTGGATTAATGCATAACCCCTACTATATTTTTTAACTTTTATTCCCAATATAGTATCTACTTCTCCTAAATCTTTTTTTCATGCCATTGTTTGGGTGTTTGCTTTAAACCATACAATGACTTAACTAGTTTACAGACTTTCTTCTCATTTTCAAGAAGGACAAGTTGTTCCATGTAGACCTTTTCATTTAAATCATCATTTAAAGTGTCTCATTGTGCCGCACACATGCGTGCATGCGCGTTGCGTGGTAGCAAGCCTCTATACTCTCTTAGATTTCTAAGGAGTGTAAATAAGCTCCCATTTAAAAACTCAACAAATTAAGTTATTTTTTGATGTGGGACAAGTTAAAAGCTGGTTTTAATAAGAGAAAAAACTATTTTTCAAGACATGTGTGCAAGTGTGTTTTTTATATAATCGATCATCAATATCCCCATTAGATTTTAATCTCATCATTTTGTAAGCAAGATAAATTCACTAAGCACAACCAAAGAAAAATACAACATAACAGAAAACCAAACTTAAAAGCTCTCCTCAGGATTAAGACGTATCAAGGATTTGAGGAATCAAAAAAGAGAGTTTTCTTGTCTACTAGCTGTATTAACCAGAGAGTAAGCCATTCTGTTTTCAGTTCCTTTTATAAGAAACTAGTAAAAAATGAGAGGTCCTATCTGATTCCATCGATTAAGCCTTGAATGCTTCAATTTGCTGATAGGTGGTTGTGCCTTAAAAGGTTGACCGTCTAGGTTGAATCAGAGAAGACAGACAACTACAATGGTGAAATCGAGATCATGGAGCTTTTTCACCCTCTTAGCGTTTGCCCAGCATTCAACGTATGATCGGTGAAGCCGTCGTGCATGGTTCTCATGTATTTTTATCATGAGTGTAGATAACAAACCCGATACCTACATTTTTTTTGTGATTGGATCTTAGCCTCCATCGACAAAAATTTTGCTTCATAGTTATCTGATGGTACATTCCTGGGGACTCCATTTGTATTGTGTGGATTACATTTTTATGCCTACTACAGAAGTAGAGACCCCTGTATATGTCCAGGGGTGTCAACTGGACCGGGTTTTGTTCAATCCGATCCAATCCAATGCGAGTCCATTACAAATGGACCAAGTCCAATCCAATCCAATGAATCTTTTGGACCGTCCAATTCAATATATGGACCACCCGTTCTGTTCAAATTTGTTTAATTTATATTAATTCTAACCCAAACCTGATCCTTTAACACCTATATTCCTATTTTTCATTAATGGACCAGATATTGGTTCAATCCAACCCAATCCAATATAAATTTATTACGGATGGACCAAGTCCAATCCAATCCAATATAAATTCTCGTTGGGTAGTTGCAGGGGACCAGGGACCAGGGACCCTTTGCTTCCTTTCTATGTAACTACTGTTAAACAGAGAAAGAATCAACAAAGTTGCTATTCACCCAAAAGAAAAGTTAAACGGAGAAAGACATCACGTTCTGACTTCCAATGATAAAGACATGAAGTGGAAGCTGGAAACTGGAAAACAATCTGCTTTTCATGCAACTTATTATTGAATAGAATAGTGGTAGGCCAATGGGGACCGACTGTTATCTTGGTGTACCCTGCCATCCCAAGTGTCTAAAACATTCTCCAGAATTGCTGCACCAAGCTCCTTTGGTGAGGAATTTCCTGACCAATCCAATCCATTCACCATTCATGTAGCTAACCAATTTCCTGACCAGTCCAATGCATTCACCATTTATCATTGAATAAATGACATGATTAAGAAACCATGTTGCTTCACTTCAAGCTCTTCTGAAAATGCTGACAATGATATGGTAAACTTCATGGATTCTTTGTTCTCTCTCTTAATATGCTCTTAGTGCTTTATACATTAAAACTACAAAATGCATGCGGTTGATCTTGAATAACTTTTTCAATAAAATACACCTCACCTATGACAAAAATCAAATGTGCATTTCACTTAAAGGTTGTTAGGATGAATTTAGTTCCTGCATGATTAAATTCTGACCATCAAATACTTTCTTCAGTGAGGAAAATCTTTTCTCTTAGGTTGTGTTTGGTTTGATAGAAAATAAGAAGGAAACAAAATGCATAGGGAAAGCCGAAAATTCACTTACATGAGCTGAGAAATTGACTTTCCGGTGAAGCTATTTTTTGTAGCTTCTCTGTAGCAGCAGCTCAATCAATCAACACTGAAGCCATCCCAAATGGGCCCTCACAAAATGGAGATTGGCTTCCGTCAGGGCAAGCCCGTGCCTACACCGTTCCAACTGCCTTTTTCAACCTTGCATTGGGAATATCTCCCCATGAAATAAAGCACAGAAGTACGGAGATATTCTCAATGCAAGGCTATAAAGGCTGCTCGAACAGTACAGTATCAAAAAAGAATTCTTCTTGTGATCAGCATCCAACCAACAAAGAGAATAAAGAGCAATAGCATCAGACTAACGCTACCTCTTCTAATATTGGACTACAATTCAGAATATAAAAACTAGCTTCGACCACAATAACCTTTCTACTTTTGGATCGGTAAATAAGAATCTGAATTGACTTTGATTGGATCATGCAACAGAAGTTGACCATTCTCTTTCTCAATGTAGCTTAAGATAGCTTCAGGTTCTAAACAAGATGCATTTGGGTCCCTTCAGATGAGATTGAATAGTGGGGATAAGATCAAATTGTACTTGTTTAAATTCAACTAATAATTAATTACAAAAATATTGTTAAAATATAATCTCCTTTTGATCAGATCAAGAAATATAATTATAAATAAAATATAAATTAAGTATAAAACCCTTGGAAATGGCAAATATTACAGGTGCATACTGCTGATGCCAAACAAAATGCCATTTGGCATTAAGCAAAATAATAAGTAAAATATGTAGCCTTATAATCTAGCTCCATGCAAGCAAAATCATACCTCCAAGGTTGCATAAAAGGGGTGCCAAATTCACTTGGTGAATCATCTAGACATGCCAAATCTCGACATTTCAGGGCATCAAATGAAGAATGGCTACAGCATCTTGTTGGATCTCAGAGGAACAAGTGATTATGTTCTAGCTCCATTTTGATACATATTGTGCCCCTTATTTCTACTGTTTACCCGTATTCTCCTTTCCCCCTTCAGTTGTAGAGGGATTCTTATACGACTGCAGTGACTGGATAGAAAGCTCAGCATTCTAAGGCACCCTAAGGTAAATGCATGTGCCTCATCAACAGCTCCAATGACTGAACCAATACCCATATTAAAAGTTGGTCAACTTCTCGCTTGATGGGTCCATCAGTCAAGAAGTCCATAGCTAGGCTAATAGCTACTATACAAACTAGTTTTTCATCCAAAGCCCAACTGGATAAACAAAGTGAATGTTGGATATCTTGTAATCTCTGAATATAAACATGGATCCTGTATTCTGTGGTTCAAGGTTCAGCCATCAAGGAACCAGAACATCATATAGATCCACCTCTCTCAGTGTTCAAACAACACAGAAAGCTACATTCTTAAATTTATGTACCCTGCAAATAACCAAATCATTCTCCATTCACTAAGTCTGTATCACAGTATTTTCTTAATAACCAAAGAAAATCCCAGTATTTGTTCAGCATATGGTCAGTAGGCCTAATCCTGTCCCACTTCCCTGTACAGAATATTGCATAAGCATCAGCTGCATACCTGTAAGAAAAGGAAAAAAACATAAATAACTATATTGGTTTTCCTGGCAGTGGGAAAACAAGTAAAATAGGTAGAAGTGGGAACTCTCCGAGTGATGAAGTGAGGGAGAATTCAATGCAATCATGGGCTAAAGGAATACAAAAAAAAAATATAAAAGATAAAGATATAACCCCATAAAATTCAAATAAATCTAGAAAGAGCTTACTTCCCAACACCATGCAACTGGGTCACATGTGTCCAGCCTTCCTCTAAATACTCCTTAGAGAATCGTTGAATCATGATTGCCCTTTTCTTCTGCAATCCTAGAGTCTGAATCACGTTTTCTATTGCTTCAGTAGCAACCAATGTTGCAGCCTTTGCATCAGGACACAGTGCAAAGAGATCTGATATTACTCTTCTAGCCTAAAAATATACTCCCTTTATTAGATGAAGATAATGGTGTAACTAGATTAATAAGAGCAATGAAGATAATGGTGTCACTAGATTAATAAGAGCAATGAAGATAATAGTGTAACTGGATTAATAAGAGCATATAATAAATAATTAGGTTCAACCATAATGGTGCCACACATTAGGGAATTAGTATCATAGAGGTACCTACAAGTGATGGTACATAAACATGAACCAAATTTTGTCCTATATTCATTAGCCTAGTTAATTATGATCACAATGATAATGAATGGAATGATAAAACTTGGGGTGATCCTGAAGAAGCTATAGTATTAGGAATATCATGGGCACATAAAAAGGTTTCCGCTTGTTAAACAAAAGCATACTCCGTATATATGTAAACACATGGAAACATAGACAGATATGCAACTTGAGAAAATGTAGTTTAACAAGAAATAATACACAAGTTATGGCCTTAAAGGTAAATAAGAGGCTGACGACCATTTCAATGGTCCAAGAAAAGAAATGAAGTAAATATTGGAATCATTTCAGAATTATTTTTCATTGATTAATCATATAAAGATACCCTGCGGTGTGATATTTTACTTGAGCACCCAACCACCCTGTCTATAACACCATATTTGACTGACATTATTCAATCACACCCACTGTAAGAAACCACCAGCTTCTTTTATGATGCTCACAAGTTAACATAGGGCAATTAGTTCAGTTATTGATAAAAAAAAGCATAGGGCTAATAACAGCCCTTCAAGCAGCCTACAGGGGCTACTACCATTCCTTCCAACAGATCAAAAATAAAGGCAACATATCCATTGCATAGCCACTACACTGGATGGCAGATGAAAGAAATCCAAAAATAGAGGATGGCAGCAAACATGGGTAGAATATTGATCAACAAATGCTGAACTTTCACCAATCACTGTGAAAACACTTCCTAGACCTCAAACATAATATTCTAGAACAGAAACCTAAACTACCACAACAGGTGTAAAGCCCCAACCAAAAAGCAACAACCAGACATATACAAAACTGCATTTCCTTGAGCTTTGATAAGAAATCATAGAAAAAAATCATGATGAAATGTGTGCAAGATCCCATAAATAGTCTTCCATCAAGCTCTAGAAACCTCTTTTTTTTTCATGATTCCCAGTTATACAGGTCTGATATCATCTAAATATCTAACCTCCATGATTACACTAATCTACAACATCTTCAAGCAGAAAGAGAAAAGCGGGGTTCCTTCCCTGCTATGATGCCAAGGAGAAACTAAAGGTAAAAGAACTGATATAAATCAAGAAACAGAGATATGATATTATGGGGAGATGAGGAATGTGTCAATTAATACCATATTCCCATGTTTTATTACTTAAGAGAAACAGTTAAAAGAATAATAATGCCCCTGCTCCACTACAACTCAAAAACACCATGTGGAATAGACCCAATACATCAGATAACAAAAATCAAAAGATAATATATCCTCAGTCAAACATTGGCAATATCAAGAGCAATGTTTTAAAACACGGAGGCATGACACGAGGCATTCCACTACCTAGAGGAGTGAGGTGCAGTTCAGAATGCAAGAGGCGTAAGCCTCCCAAACACAAGCCTCCTTAAGAGGAGGGGGATTAGGAGGGGGATGAAGAGAAAGGGGGGATCTCATTTTTTCTTTATTTTTAATAAAAATCTTTTATATTAAGAAGAATAAAGATGCATAACATTAGTTGAAAGGGGGGGTCTTGTTGAAGCGGAATGGAGCAAGACCCCCCTAACTCAAAAAAAACAAATTGGGCTGCATCGAAAAGGGGGCGGGGTCTGGGGGGCAAAGCCCCCCAGCCAAAGGGGCAGGGGGCAAACCACTTTCTTTCCCCTTATCTTTCTTCCCTTCCCTTTCCTTTTCTCTTTTTTTCTTCTCTTTCTTTTTATTTCCCTTCCCTTTCTTTTCCTTTCCTTTTTTTTTCTTTTTTCGTTTTATTTTCTGTCTTTTTATATAAGATGTGCATGAAAAAATCGCATGAGGTGTACGCCTCAGAGGTGTCAGCACCTCTGGCATACGCCTCAGGGCATTTTGGGAGCGCCTTGCCTGGAGGCGTGCCTCCAGGCGTACGCCTCCCACGCTCCCACACCTTTTAAAACACTGATCAAGAGTACGCCAAAATCTAAGAATCTTTCAATGTCTTTTTTTTTTTTTTTGATCAATAACAGTGAAATTTTATTAAGAATCTTTCAATGTCTTCAAAATCTGGATAAACCATTAACCTGTCCAAAATGAGGTTTTCTCTTCAAATATTCTTTCATTTCTTTGTCTTCAAATTCCCCAATATATAGAAAAGCAATAAAGAGGATAGTACTTCAAAAGATTTTTGCAAGGCCACAATTCTAAAGAAATTCATGAGGATCATCATAATGGCATAAAGAAAAAGAGTTACCAAATAAAACAGTCCTACATTGGATGAGTATTATCAAAGATTTGCTTCATTCTTGTCACTCATTAAACCGAAGCTGGTTATCCTAAAAGATCTACTCTTCAAAAGATTGGTAGTCAGAATTTCCAATAACCTTGATCAGTCTATGTTATCCCAAGTACATCCAACCTGAAAATGATATTACAAAATTCCCGATTGGTGTATTATAGAAAGATTTCACTGTTCTAGTGCACTCCTTCCACAATCTAGCATCCAGAGATGAAGTATATATCTTGGATGACCAATCTTCTGAACAGATTGACATACTCCTTAGCTTCTCTATTCATGAATGATATTCTGAAAATCAGGCAACATACAACCTGTTAATTTCTGATTTCAAAAGGTGAAGTATATATATATTGTGCTTCCTCCACATCTTTTTCAGGTTTTGTGAATGGATCTGTAATGGAAATTTTCAGAACCTCTAGGGAATTGCACAAGGGGACCCATTTTCTTCATTGTTGTCTATGCTGGTTGTGGAATTCTTGAGTGGGTTAATTATTAAAGGAGAAGAGTTGGATCCCATTTAAGATCTTCGGATGAATTTGGAGGGTCCAGTTATTTCTCATTTGCATTATGCTGATTAATACATTGGTTTTTCTGAATGCATCAGTATCAGGAAGCCTTAAATTTAAATGGGTGGTTCTATAATATTCTGATGTCATTTCAGGGTTCAAGGTGAACCTTGTTAGAGTGTGATAATCAGAAATAGATGATATTGATAGTTGATAATATATGCCTAAGAAGTTTGGGGTGGACACCAAAATTGCTAGTTACTTTCTACAAAGGTTGGAGAGAGGCCTAAGAAGTTTGGCATTGCCAGATTAAGGGATNGGGGGGGGAGAGCACCAAGCCCTATGGAAAACTTGTAGAAAAGTGATGTGCTTACATATGATTGTATAGTCTTGTATGGGGAGCACCAGGTATTTGTAAAATGGGAATATGCTTAAAAATATCATTGTATAGTCACGTTAGAGCTGTTCTATCACCCTCCTCATCCCATACTCGACAAAGGAGTTTTTCACGCTACTACATTAATAAAATAACATTTCTTTTTCTGATAAAGAAATATATTCTTTCATTTCTATCACAAGCAAAAGATCTATGCTTTCCATGTATAGTGACTATCTGACTGAGCATTAAAGAAAACCATTTATGATATACATTGGTGATTGAGAGAGAGGATCTGTTTGGGTCCCACTTGAACCAATTTTACATGGCAGAGTGATGATTCAGACAAAAATAAAGATAAAGGCCTTTTAAGGAACTTATCTGAGTCACTAGAAGTTCCATCTGTTTAAAACCATATCCATTGTTAAAATATTGGCACTTAAATCATTTTTACTACTACTCAAGTCCGTTTTGGTCTACCCCTAGCCCTTTTATCCCCTTCAACTTGCAGCATAAGTTATTCACCTTGTCCCTGAGTGGAATAACTTGAAAATTTTCTTTTCTGTGTAGACAAAAACTAGTTGTTTTAAATACTCCAGTACAATCGACAAGTAACATATAAACTTTGTATTTCCAATGACAAGATTGAGGCTTTCCAACCAAGCTAACCACAGCATCATTTAAATTTTAAGATAAAGGTTTATCATTTAAGGATGACAAATAAGAGCACCGACTGGACAATTTAGAAAAATGGGAAAAGAAAAACAAGGGTTACCTGTACACCGGATGTGCGATTAAGGAGCATGCATATCACAACTACCCTCCAAGGATCATGGGCATGCTCTTCTTGGAGAAGTTTAAAATGCGACCGTGGAGGTTTCCATGTGTTATCTGGAGTTTTCCTTTTGTATGCTTCATCCAGTCTCTGGGAAGCAGAAAGGCTAAGTGGATTCTTGGATTTCTTCTCATCATCCGACCAGTCACTCTCTTCTTCTTTGGGAGCATCATGGAAGTAAGGAGAAACCACTGCCACCTTAGAACAAATCTTCTTACGCAGCTTTGGCGTTCTAATTTTCAAATCCTCCATATCCTTCGTCCCTGTTTCTTGCATCCCTGAGGTTTGGAAGTAAGGGGAAACCACTTCAACTCCTTTGTTTGCTCTGTTCTGACTCTTTTCTCCTTTCGAATTCCTCTTTGATGGAGAATCTTCAACTATTCCCATATTCTCCTCCAGTTGCACCCTTTCTGCTTTCGCTGTAGCATGGGAATCAGGGGGAAACATTGTTACCCTCACTGCCTCAGTAGAGACATTCTCATCAACCATCCAGTTACTACTACTCCTTGTTGAGTCAATCTCTTCCTCCTCGTCAAGTTTGCTGTCTTCTCCAGCAGGTGAAGTTGGAGAGTACTGAAATTTGCGCAGAGGATGACACACTCTCCTCCTCCTGTAGGCAGAATCTTCTATTTTATCCACCTCCTCCTCCAATTGCAATTCTTCCACCTTCACAGTTCTATAAGAATCGGATGAAGACACCTCAACTCCCTCAATCTGATTATGCAAATTCTGTTCCCCCACCCTATCCTTGCTCCTCTTACCTTGTTTCTCATCAAGCTTTCCATCTTTTCTAACCTTAGAATCTATCGACAAGCACTGGGAATTGCAAAGAACTTCATCGATCTCCATCTCCTTTCCTTTATTGGCCTTCTGGAAATAGGACGAAACCACCCGCCCTCCTTTTCTCCTCTTCTTCTTCTTCTTCTCCTGTTTCTCATCATCACTGCTTCTCCTCCTTCTCCGGGAACCAGATTTTTCTCCCTCGAGGGCCACTGCCTCTTTCCCATTCTCCTCGACTTCTTCAACGGTCTCATCAAGGCAGGAGACCTTGTTTTTTGAATGATTCTCGTCATCCGTCGGAGAACCCAACAACCGCGCCTTGGGATTTTCTAGCTTCTCAGGCGTTGACGTCTCGAAATCAAGGGAAGCCAATGACGAAGATTGTTGAGGCGGTGGCACCGTCTGCTGCGATTTCTGTCTCTTCCTCCTCTTCTTCATGTTCTGGTTCAATTCTCTGCTTTCTTCTTCTCTTTCTAATTCTACCACTTCAACGACCGTTTGGCTTTTTTCGCGTTCGTGAGAATCGGCCGATGAAATCCTCCCGCGACGGCGTCGTTTCCTCTTCTTCCCGGTTGAAGGCTGCTACTGGTTCATTGATTCTCCCTTCTCCGTCTGCTCTTCCATATTTCGTCCGTCCGGTTGCTCCGCGGATTAACAAAACTAAAGAGCCCAGTTATGCTACTCAGACATCGGTCCTCACACGGACCTCACTATGTATCAGCCACACATCACAAAATGTATCAGCCATTGTAGCCCGGCCCGAAAATTTTTCGCTCTGTGATGTACCAGCCGCACTGTATTGGGAACATCTTCTATCAATAAAATATAGGAGTACGGAAGATGTTCCCGATGTGCGGCTAGTAGATGCTGTGAGGTCGATGTGAGGAGCGCTCTATGAGAAAAGATCATCCTAATTCAATTATAAAAAATAAAAAATGTCTTGATAAAAGGTGAGTCAGGTGACCATTTGTAGCCTGGCCCAAAAAATTTTTAAGCTTGGGCCTCAAAATTTGAAACCCTAAAACCTAATAAAAATACCTGAGGTGGATTGAACTCTAAATTTCTCTTCTATATTCACATTTATCACACTAGCTTCTCACTTTATTTAACCTATGAGTTAGACTCTTTGTCTCCTTTGCCGATCACAAAAATAAATAAAGAGAAAAATAAAGAGAAAAAGAAAAAAAGGAAAAAAAAAGATTATTTCTTTTTCTCTTCTTATCTTTCTTAAATTTCTTGTTTATCCTATTTTATTTTAATATTGCATTTATTTTTATCTTTATTCGACTATTCTTGTTGACCAATCTGGTTTTAGTTGGGCATTTAGTTTGGCTCTTTTTTTCATTGTTAGGAAATGCGCACATGGAAATTTTAGATGATGATAATAGTAATGATGTGTCCAAATTTTCTTTATTTTTTTATATTTCTATGTATATAAAAATAATTCTTGTTTTTCAACACAGTTTTGTTTAATATATGAAAATATGATATTACAGATGTAGTCAAATGTTTTCTACAATATTTCTATAGTTTTCACAAATCTTTTTTGTATTTTTATCTTCTTTTATTTATATTATTTAATTATGACATCAAGTGTTTACATATTTGACCCAACAAGTTAAACTATTGGCCCACTATCAAATAGGTAAACAATTTCATTTTCCGATTGGTTTTAAATTTTGTATTTCATTATCATCAATATAAACAGTTCTTGTTCATCACACTTATTTTTCTTTAACATGATTAATAGAAAATATTAGAGACATGCTTAAATTTTGTTGTCTTTATTTCTATTTTAAGTTTTATTATTTAACTATCACATCATGGTTTGATCCATTTGACCCAAACATTTGAATTACACCACCATTTGGACTGAATAATAGTTCCGTTTTTTGGTCAATCTTAAAAACGTGTGTTTTATATTGTCAAAAGTACTTGATATAGATCTAATTAGTAAAATTTATTGGTGAGAAAAATCTCTTAAATATAGGATTTAATGAATAGTGGTAGTGGCCACAAGCCCATTTGTACTTTTAATATATACTAGCAAGTAAATCCATGCAAAATGCATGGTCTTGAATAGATATTTGATTAAGTTTGGGTTAAAAATTTTGGGTTTTAATATCAGTTTGGTCTAGGCTAGGTTCCATATTTAAGGTTGGACTGGCTCTTTACCTGAGCCAAACCCATCTAATTTATACCCCTTCTTCATTAAGAGAGTCAAAAGGGCCAGGCCAATGGAGATTAAGAGGAAATAAAAGAAGGGATTTAATGGGGGAGGAGAGATGTTATAAACATTAGCTATTGGGGGAAGAGGTTAAGAATGATTTATTAGAGAGTAATGATGGGTTTTATTAGAAAAAAAAGACCTAAGAGGTTTTCTATTGTTTCTTACATTTTTAGTAATTTAATTAAAAACAGATAACCACATGTGTGACAATTGAGAGGAATAGGAGGGTGTGAGCTTTTTTTTCTTTTGTTTTGTTTTTTTTTTTTTTTGTATCTTCTGAAGGAGATCACCCAACACCGGGATTTGATCCCAGGTCTCCACTACGACCAACAGGAGACCTTACCAACTAGCTGGTTGGCACCTTAGAGAGTGTGAGCTTTGTGGCTAGAAGACCCTTTCCACTTTCTAATAGATATAGATTAATGTAAGTTTACTTTGAAACATTTTTTAAGCACCCCACTTTGCAACTTATTGCTGCCCCCCCCCCCTCCCCTTTCCAGATAATATTGCTTTGTTTTTGCTGCTTTTAAGATTTTTTCAAAATGAAATATTTTATCTATTAGTTCTGCCACTTTTGTAACAAAAACTTTATGCAAATGGCAAGAAAAATAAAGATTATATCATAAAAAAAGCAAAAATATAGTTCAAATATTTCTGCGTGAAAAATTTTCACCCATTTTAAACAAATTGAGCCTTAAGAAATAAAAGAAATATAAATCCCTTCACTCTGCCTACCACTTGGCTAGAGATATGTTCACCAGTCCTTTTCTATGTTTTTTTTTTCTTTGCTAGGCGTTCACCAATCAATTTAGGAACCCAAATGTCAATGGTGGTTATGTGAACCGGAGAGGGCAATCTTCACCGATGATGGTGTGCTAAGATCCTTTAATCTGGATCATCCAAATGATATGCCAACTGATTGATCAAGGCCTTGTGAAGATGGTGGAGGATTTCCCAGAAAGTTAATGAAATGCATTGTGTAGTACACTTAAAGAGCTTTTAGATAAGGTTGGTTAATCATGACTGAACTGGTATATGTTTCAAGATAAGTTTGAGTATAAGCAGACATGATACTTCAACTACAATTACAGTGATTTCATGTTTGCTTAGTTTAGGATTAGACATTGAAGTTATCTGATTCTCTAATACCTGCACTGATTTTAACAAACAAACAAACAAAATGGGATTTGGAAGGTCAGTGCTGGTGGAGCTACCATAATGAAAAAGGATGTCAGTATGACCTCAACCTCAATGATATTTCTAGGATTTGCAATTGAAACAAATCCAGTTTAATTTCTATGATCAACATACTGAGCTAGAACCATTGGCTTTTACAGGAATAGACTTAAAGCTACACTTGGACATGGGTGGAAGTAGTAAGAAATGATTTAGGCGCTAATAGTTTAACAGTGGATATGACCATAAACAGAACGAATGGTGAAAAGGGATTCATGGAGTCAACCCTATATAGTTGGAATAAGGCTTGGATGATGTTGATGAGACTTGCACCACACTAGCTTTAGGGGTAAATGTCTTTATGAATCCCACCTGGGATATGGTGATTCTAACCAACTATTCCTTGAAAGGCGAACAAAATAGTGCCAATCATCTGAGGACCATATGATTACATCCATCTATAGGATCAATGTATGAAATAAATGGTGTTCAGAATTTCGCCACAAAATGATGGATTGTACTTGTCAGCATTGATATATTATGTATTTGAGTGCAATTCCATGTACAAATACACCATTTAAAGGATCTCAATGCTATAAAACTTTGAACTTTGAAGGAGACTGATGTTAACTAGGAGTTTATACTGAGAAAATAGCAAATCAAACTGAGCTAATAATTAAGATTTAAGAGCACACTATAATGTAAGAACAGTTGGGTGAAAGTTCGATGATTACAATTAAATGCTTCAAAAGCTCTCATTGAATTTACAACACATTGACATTTGAGTGCAAGAGTAGAGAAAATTACAGGGTAGGAACCCTTTCAGCTGATCCAGAAATAACAGTGAGCAAGTTGTTGCCAAAAGGATCACTAAGGTGGGCTGCCAGGTTCTCAACTGGACCTTGGCCTGTAACATAAGCCTGAAAGTAGAAACCAAGCATGGCAAACATTGCAAGTCTTCCGTTCTTAATCTCCTTAACTTTCAAAATTGCTGCCTGGTCAGGATCTTCTGCGAGCCCCAATGGATCAAATGGACCACCTGGATGAAGCTTGTCCTCCAAATTCTAGAGAAAAGGAAACACAGAAATACCACCTTAGTTGTAAATTGTAATTAATTTTATAACTACCATAAACATTTGAAGTCATACCATGATAAACTACTCTTGAGATGTTCTAGAGTTCAAAAATCCCCCAATTAACACAAATTTACATGGAAAATTCCACATAATACCGGATACGTATTTTCAGTATTATCTATTATGTTTTTGCCTTCTGTAATTCAAGGTTTTTCTTCATTGTTCCTTCTTTTCCTTCTTCTGCTCCAGCTTTCTTTCAAAGAAAAGGAAAGAGAATTCTGCTTTCAAATTCTCATTATGTCTGAGACATGGTTTGGAATAGTTGATAGTGCAAGACTCGCTAAGAAAAAATAATTCTTAGTTGTAATAATAATGGCAGCAGAAGAAGCAGAAAAATTACAATAAGAACAAGAACAAGGCTTGCATACCAGGCCATTGATGATTCTGTAGTATTCTGCACCCCCAACAAGAATAACTTCAGCAATGACAGCAACAACAAGGTTAATGGGGATGTTCTTCCCAAAGTAATTCAGAGTGTTCCCATCAAGAAGTAGAGCTCCTGTCTGTATAAATGTTCATAGGAAAGAACCTCATAAGTAAAGATTATTAACTTGTCAAAAGATTTTATGTCTAGAGATAGTTACATCTATATCGGTGGAAGAAAACCCCACCAGCCAGACAGTGAGGAAGGCACGTCCACAATAAACAATTAAAAGATCAAAGTCTTCCCTATTTTATAAATCAGTTCAGGGTAAACCGAACCAATTCACACTTTACCCTAAATACTCAATGCCACATGAGGGATGGAGGAACTAATAGGAAATGCTTGGGTTGCCTCTCTACCGATCTCATGTAGTTTAAGATGTTGATTCTGGGCTAAGTAGACTTTCTTCTTAGATGGATAGTACTATTGAGTTTCATAGAGGACAGACAGCTAAATGTATATGGTTTGGAACAGGAAAATAGTGGTAAACATGAGAACATACATGAAATTCCTGGTATGAACAATGAAAGGATTAAGGTAGAGATGCAACTTGAGCAGGCTCAGGCTGAGCATTTTTCAAATTTGGAAAATCTTCAAATCGGATAACCAAGTTGCACTTGTAGGTCAGTGGGGTTGACACAAACTAAATATGGTTTAATAATGCTTAATTCAGGTCCTATAATGATTCTAGTAATTGAGTTATAAGCCCAACCACCTGAAATGTAAAAATAAAAATGTAGGTCTATACTTCTAACATGCTTTGGTGATGCTTAATTAAACATTCATCCATACCACAAAAGAGATAAATATTCTATATCAAAGGAGTTCACTTAATGTACAGTTGAGTACCTTGAACCAAACAGCTTCAGGACCACAATTGGCACCAAACTTGTTGAAGGCCTCTGGAATGATGAAGCCTGCAGCTCCAAGCATGGCCCACCGGGCATGAATGAGTTCATATGCCTGATATCTGCAATGAAACCACAATTCTCACACATGAGTTTACCATACTGGGTTTCACTCAGGGACCATTGCTTGGTTCAATGATAAACTGTCATTTTTTTGAGTTCACACAATATTTTGTTTTCAAAGTTTGGTTCATTGGTTCTTATTATTCATGACAAAGATATTAAATTTTGTCAAAGTTTTTAAAGCCTTAAGAGTTAATCCCAATTTCGACTGTCATCAAAACAAAATATTAGTACAGTTTTGTATATTCAGGTATTGCTCTAAAAAGTAAAGGTCTGTGAACATTTGGGCAAAGATAGCAGAGAAAATAGGATTTAGACATATAAGAGGAAAACTACAAAATAAAACAGATGAAATAGTAATTTTTTTTGAACTAACAGATATTTTTTTGTTCCATTTCAAATGTAAAAATTCCATAAAAGTTTCAAAAAAGATAGTTGTTTTTGTTTTTGAGGAGGCCAAAATATATCTGAAAAACAAATTTGAAAACAACCTCTCTCTTTCTCTCTCCCCCTTACAATAAAAGTTGAGGACTCAAGAAAAGTTATAGGTTGCATTTTCTTCTCTGTAAAATGGAGGAAAATTTTTTCAGAATGAAATACTTAGGCCATGCTTTTGCCCCTTTTACAATGAAAACTCTGTATTCCTTTCCATTTGCATCAAAGAAATTAGAAGGAACACGAGAGGAGACAAACAGAACCAAATCAAAGAAAGATCAGCATTTAGACTTACTTGGCGAAGTCCTCAGGTTTCTTGCTCAGACCAAAGGGATCATAACCATAACTGCAATCACATAAACAGAACCCCAAAACATTACAAGCCTTAGCCACATGAACATGCTAAAAAAACACCCTGATCTTATGGCTCAAGTTAGCTCTTCTTACTCTCCGGGTACTTCTCCGGTGAGGTATTCAGGGATTTCTGATCTGTCCAAGAGACCGTCCGGCAAGAAAATTCTTCTGTCAGGACCTGAAATCAGATCACCCACATTGTCACTGTAAGAATAGAAGAAGAACCCCTCCTAAAAAGGAATTAACCAAGAGCACTATGCAGTCCTATCCGATGGTCGGAGTACTCACCATACCACTTGGCGAGTTCATCGTTGATGGGAGCGGCGGCAGCGGGCTTAGGCTTGGGTGGTGGGGGAGCCGCCTTCTTCCTTGAGAAGAGTGCGACAGTCTTGAAGGTAGTTGGGCTGGAAGCCGAGGGTGCAGGCCGGGCAGCACCAGTGAAGTTTAGAGGGTTGCCGAGCATTTCCTTGACGCCCAGAGAGGCGGACGCCGTGGACGCTGCGAGGGATGCCATTTGGTCTTGAGTGGTTGGCCGGAAAAGTTGGATTTTCCGGTGAGGTGGTGACAAGTGGAACGTGTGGAAGGAGAGAGGGTGAGGGAGGGATACTAAATGCTTGGTCGGGTGGATGTGAGTGTGCCAAGTGGGATGGTAATTGGTTGGTTCCTGGGATGCGCAATCTGAAGTTTTGATCTGATAGGGTGGGATTTGATGACGTGGTAGATGATGGTGCTGACGTGGATACTTCCTAACCACTTGATTCCTTCTATTTGGATAAAATGTCCCATCCCATGATCCATCTCTGTTTTTCTCATCCTAAACAAATGACGGAAATACCCTCCTGCTCAAAACTGTCAGTGTCAGGACGGTGAGCTCAGAGCTGGTGCAAAATTTGTTTGGGCCTACAAGCTGGGCCCTAGGATTTCTTGAATCGGACCATTGGGTTGGATCCATACCTACAAATTCCAAGTTTTTTTTGTTTTTGGTATTGGACAAATTCCAAGTTGGACCCTAATTACACATAGTATAAATATTAGGGCTGTAAACAGATCCAATCGAATCCAATATAGTTTGGAGTAGGGGTGATCATGGGCTGTGCTTTGCATTTATGATAAGGGCTAAAGCTTAGTCCTGGGTCCGGCTCGGCCCGGGGTTCCGGGCCTGTAACATAAGCCCTAGCCCAAGTCTACACGGGCCAGGGCCGGGCCGGGCCTGATTCCGGGCCAATGTCTTTCATTATAAAACATTATATACTTATAAAATTTTATATTAAATGACATAACATGTATATAAACTTTTATTTTATATATTATATAATATAAAATTTTACATATGATATAAATTATACATGTCATGTTATAATATTTATACATTATACACAAAATGTGTAAGTTTAAATATATATGGGCCGGGCCGAGCCAAGGCCGAGCTTGAAGTATTAAGCCCAAGCCCAACCCTAAAATTTGCGGGCCTGATATGGGCCCGGGCCCAGGCCAGGTCTGAACGCAAAACCTAAGCCCAAGCCCGAAATTTCCAAGACGGGCTTGTGTGGGCCAGGCTGAAATGATCACCCCTAGTTTGGAGTCTGGATCTCCTGCCCATAAGAACTCTACCCTCGTCTACCCACATAACATTGCAACCACAAATGTAAAACATCTCATCCTCCTACATAATATTATGCACGAGGAGATGTTCCCAATGCACGGGGGTAGTGTGTTATAGGTAAGGTTCAAAGTATCATTACGTATCAGCCCGTATCGGCCGATATGTATCATTCTATGGCCCTTTCGATATGCCCCTACAGTGGGTGTATCGGGGGTTTGACCAGTTCAGGGGATGGAGGGGTCCTAGACTGGCTCCCTTGAACTAGTTTTGAAAAAAAAAGGTAAAAAAACAAGTATTGAAACGCCCGATACACCCCTACCGGCGTATTGGGCATATCGATATTTTGAACCTTGGTTATAGGTAGACGTGGATATAGTTCTTGTGGACAGAAGATCCAAAGTCTATAGTTTGATTCATTTATATTTGAATTTGAATTGAATCTTATCCATCAGATTTATATTGGATTAAATATTTAAAAATCCAATTGGGATTGTAAATTTGTAATTAGATATTGCACACAATAAATAAATTAAATTAAAAATTATCAAAATTGTATATTAATAAAATGAACTAAAATTGAGAATGACGGTTCAGCCCAAGGTCAGAATTCATAGGCACAAGATACAGTTGGGGTAGGTGCCAGCTTGGAATTGATGCCAATTCACGGGTGGACATTGATGGATAGGGTGGGAGTAATTAACCTTTTGAAATGTTATAGATCTGCAGTGAAAATCAGAATTCTGCAATGGGCCTGTCTGCACTTCTCCATTTTTGCTTCAAGAATTAAAATTGACTTTGATATTATATTTCATTAACAAAATAAATTGAAATATAGTGAAATATTGAGGGTTAAGGTCAACGCTAGCCCAATCCAAGGTTCTATCATTCATCCAATCCAAACTTGACCTCAAGTTGGGCTGGGCTGGGCTCAACCTGAGTTCTTTACCTTTTCCTATTTTCTTATAATCTCAAAGTGTCTCAAATTCTCTTAATCTTTAATTAAGAGATTTAAATTAAACTTTTATGACTATATATTGACCATATTTTTTATTGGTATTTGTTTGTTTGATATTTTTATTGATTATTTTAGAAGAAAAGTGAATAAAAAATATTTCAAATGATTAGAGTCTATTATAAGTTATAATAAAATCTTCTATAAAAATCTAGACTTATGGAAAAGAAACCATTAATGATAACTTGTCATAGAGTTAAGCTTAAGAGTTAAAGACAAATTGATATGTATACTACACATGTACAATCAAGGTTCAAAGTATCGTTACGTATCGGCCGATACGTATCGTTCTAGGACCCTTCCGATACGCCTCTACAGTGGGTGTATCGGGGGTCTGACCGGTTCAGGAGATGGAGGGGTCCTAGACCGTCTCCCCTGAACCAGTTTTAAAAAAAAAAGGTAAAAAAACAAGTATCGAAACGCCTGATACGCCCCTACCGGTGTATCGGGCGTATCAATATTTTGAACCTTGTGAACAATAGCAATAATAGAATCGGGTTTGGATTGGGCTGGATTGCCTAAAGGCCAGCCCTAACCCAACTCGAAGTAAAGTTAAATTGGGAAAACTCAACCCCAACCCTAACCTGATCATCAATCCAATTTTTTTGGGTTGGATTCAGGTTAATCCAGCCCAAGTTGCAGTCCTTATTTGTTCGTGTAGATATTTTAAACCTTGCTTGGACAGTTAGACGCAAAATCGTAAAATTAATATAACTTTCTGAGGTAAACTGAATTCTAAATTTCTCTGTAAGTAAATAAACAAACCTCCAAAACTTCGCCTAAATAAACTCATCTTGCAACACCGATTTGGGTAGAAAGAAGAGATGCATCAGAGTGGCAATCAGCACAATGGTTTTCAAAATCGGACCAGACTGGACAATTGGACCGGAAAAACCAGGAACCAGTCTGATGACCGGTTCTGTTTTAGCGCAGAACCATTATTTTGCCAAAAAATATTGATTTAGTCAGCAAACCGTTGACCCGGGCAGTCAAACCATTCAATAGTTTGGCCATTTTTTTAATTTTTTGTCAGAACGGGCCATTCATTTGGTTCAAACAGTCGGACCATTCGACCTGAAAACCGAACCCTGACTGGTTCGTTGTCCGATTCAGTTTTAAAAACCTTGATCAACACTAAAACTTTTGCCAAACTTTCACTATCATAAATCGTAATCGATGTTGATCAAAAAAATATAACTCAAATTATATTATCACAATTAAGAACTATTAATTAGTTTTATAAGGGTCATCACCCAATTAAGAACTATTAATTAGTTTATTGAAAGTAGCATTATTTTCGTCTTTTACACAAAGTAACAGCTGTGAAGCTCAAAGCCACGTTATTACCGGTGACTAGACAATAACCCCTAAAGGATTAATTATTTCTTTATATTTCAATTAATAACATTATAAATAAGCTATAGGAAATTAAGTAGCTTTTGCAGCCAGCAGCAACAATAATAGAACTTTGAAATAAAAACAGGAAAAATAATTGTATATTTGTATATACGTATTTGTGCTTTATCAATAAAAGTACCATATTTTTTTCTTTCGGGAAAGTGGCTCTCAAAACTCGCATCTCTTTCAACGCCCCCCACACCCCCTCAAAAAAAAAAAAAGAAAGAAAACAAAAAAGAAAAAATACTAGTAGTAATAATAGAATTCATTTTTGTAAACAATTATAGTAAATATGAAAAATCAATTATAAGTTGGACTTGAGTAGTCATTTGATACCATTATTTAGTTTTTTTTTTCAAATTTCGGTTTTTGGGGACTTTTTTATGCATATTTTTTATTAAATAAGAGAGGGGTCCCAAAAAGCCAAGACACCTGTAAATAGGTGTATCATATTGAAATTTTGAACTTTGAGAAGAAATAGGGGTTTGGAATCTGAAACTGTTTGGGTAGGCTGGATCAAAGTTCAAAGTATCGATACAATACGTGTTTCGGCCGTATCGTATCATTTTTTTTTGCTTTTTTTTCAAACTTTGATTATTTGGAAAGCTTATGTTTTTTATTATTAAAAAATTGGAGGTCTGAAACACCTGGAAACAGGCGTTTTGAATCGTATCATTTTTAAAAGATACGATACGATAAACCCATATCGAATGGATACCTCCCCCCCACCCCNCCCACCCCTTTGGAAATCAGAATCTATTCTAACTGATTCCAAATTTCCGATTCCCATCTGAACCAAACAGACGGGGAATAGATCATTCTAATTCTGATTCCAATTGATTGATTCTGATTACAACTCTGACTGTGAACCAAACAGACCCTTAATTCTTAAGGGTGGGCTCTAATACCTAATCGGCTAATCCAATAGTCCAACTCATATGCACTTTAATTTTCATAGGCAACCAATTCACACAACCTAAGAGCTCCTAGAAGATGGCACTAGTAGAGACCATAAACATGCAAAAAGAATGATATAAATAAATAAAGGCATGAACAGGAAATATGCTATTAAACACGTTGATCTGCTAATATCATTCACTGAAATGATAAGTATCATATGATTCAACATCTGAGACAGAACTATCTCTCATCTTCTCCACTTATCTATCTCTTTTGAAGTTGCTCTAATTAGCTTCTTGGTATTTATGACCACCTCATCAATGAGAGCACTGATCTCGTCCCTGGAACCAAAAAAAAAAAAAGAATAAAGAACTAACTTAGAAGTTCTTTGCTAGCTATGCAACCTGGATCTAATAATATCAGAATGGTGAAGCTGTGATAAAGCATAATAAACTTGAATAGTGGTGGATGATTAGTTATGGTTCTCAAAATATCATGGGATATTAACACAACATGATTTATTATGAAATGAAGCTTTGATCTGATGCTCCACCTTCACAGTTTCCAATGACGAAACTAACCAAAGAGATAATCATTAGCTATCCGTCTCAAATTCCATTAGGTGGATCAAAGAATATGATAAAATGTATTTAGAAGATGTAGAATAGATAACCATTAGAAATGTTCAATTGTATAACTGGTAGACATAACAAATTATCTGCTTGAACCAACTGATGGTGGGCTCAGTTGGTAAGTTCTCTGGCTAGTTGTAGCTGAGTCTTAGTCTGTAGTACCCATGAAGCAAAAATCCAAAGAAAAGAAACCTGTGATTGCTTGAAAGGGTCCTTAGATTTGCAATTACAAGATCACCTGATATCAGCTCTCTTAGCTGACCCCATATGGTTGGGACAAGGCTTAGATGATGATGATGATGATGATGATGATGACCCTGTGAGTTCTCTATTAAGTGTTCTCCAGTTTAGAAATACTAGATTCTAAAACTCATTGTCATATTACCAATATATAATAGGTTCTATTTGGGGTGCTAGAATTCGTCAAACCTATCATTGTTGATACAAATTACAAATAATACATGTACTAGTATTAGAAACCCAACTCTAGAATTTCCGTTCTATTCCTGTTTTTTTTTTTTTATCTTCTTCCTTTCATTTGGATGAAAAGAAGTCATTAGAAAAGAAAAACAAAGATGTGGAGAATAAAAAGAGCAGGATGTAATTAGAATCCAACATATTGTAAATAGATACTTACTGAGGGAGATTTCCAGATCCATGAAAAAGCTTCCCTACATTTGTATATCTTCGGTTCTCATCATATGCAATACCCTTCCCAATTCCATAACCAAATCCTAATCCAACCCCACATCCAGCACCAAACCCAAACCCCAACTGTAGCCCTGGAAATCCAGGACCAATGCCTGCACCTGCAGTAGAAAGGAAAGCTCAACTCAGCATCCTCGCTAATTTCATAGAACAGAATAGCAGAAGAGGAAAAACCAGCAAGTTTTAAGGCAAGAAGAACAAATAAAGTACAACGAATTCCAAAAGCATGAGGTGCAACTTAAGGCACCACTCTGAAAAGGACTAAAATACCTTATTAATGTAGGAGACAAATGGTCAGGTATGGAATTTTTTGAAATTCCCGTGTATTTTATATCATTAAGCAGTAGGGGTATTTTTATATTTCAGAAGGTTGTCTGGTTGAGCATAATAGTTTGATTTGTTTAATCATAGTTTGGTTGTGTTTAAAATTTCAGAGCTTTTGGTTAAGTAGTCCAGGAGTAATATTCTGTGTTGGAGTATGGATAGTAGATTTGTAATTGAGTTGTCATAATTTAGTGAGGAGTTTGAACCTTGTAAGTGTGTGTCTATTGCTGCAAAAACGTGGATTATGATATTTAAGTGATTCTTTTCGGTTTTGCATATTATGCCTCTGGTGAGTGATCCCCATATTACAGTAATTCTAAGCTCCCCATTGAGTGATTTGAGGTTCTCTCTCTATCTTCGTTGTAGCTATACAAACAAGCATTACAGCCATCCACAACCTAAAAGTTATAACCAAAAGAGATCATTCAAGACAGAAAATGCATGTTCAATGGGAAGCATTAGACCAAGAAAAATAAAATTGAACTTTGATGGGTGTTGTTTAGGCAATCTGGGACCCTTTGGCATTTGAGGTCAGAGATGATAAGAAACATAGGTTTCTAACTTTCTATCACTCATTGGTGTAGGTATCTCACTAAAAGCACGAATTATTAGCTCTAATGCAGTGACTAAAATTGGCTTCAACAGAAGGCCAAAACAGATTTACAGGATGAAAGAGACTACCAAGTGATCATAAAGTGCTGTTAATGGAGAAAGTGCCTTCGTGTATAAGGTATTTGATGAGGAAAGGGCTGGGTTTGTACATTGAATTCCTCATTCAGAGGGGGTCCCCAGAATACCACATAGTATAGTAGACTCTGGCAGGATCAGGTGTTGCCAAGGATCTTCTGTTATAGGGTAAACCAGGGCCATGGGAGAGTAGTAATGAATTGACATATAAAGAAAAAGGAGGCTCAGATATATGATGTTTCTTTTGTATCCTGCCATCCATCCTTCCTCTGAAGAGTATGGAGCTACTTATTTTTTTATCAGCAAAAGAGATTTCATTTATAAATTCAAAAAGATGATTACATGTACTTTAGCTACTCTGCAGTCCAGAGTATAGCAATATACAATTTGTCCCAGATTACAAGGATCATCATCTCTCTGTTTTAAAACAGCCAGCTACAGTTTTGCCCAAAATAGAGTAGACCCATCAACTCCCTGTTTTGCTAGAGTACCTGCCAATCCATTTTCTGTCCTTTTAACCCACCCAAATGTAGAGTTAAGACTCTTAGCAAGAAGGTCAATCTCCCCGAATGCAAATCAATACTTCCAGGGTGCTGAGTTTACTAGCTTAGCCCAAGAGATGACCAATAGTGAGTCCCCTTCCACTTCCAACTATCTAGCTTCTAATTGTACTGCTAATTTCAAACCTCGTAATAGTGCCATTATTAGGGGTGCAAGTCGGGCAGGTTGGGCCGAGTTTATGGTAACCAGAGCCCAGCCCTAAAATTTGGGCTTAAGGCCCGAGCCCGAGGTCAAGCCCAAATTTTCAAATCTGAGCACAGCCCGCACTGTAATTTGATGCACTTGGGTTGAGCTTGGGCCCAGGCCGGGCTCGAGTTGGTCAATGAACTCACTCTAAAATTATACATATATAAATGTATTTATGCAAATATGTATAAATATATTTGTGTATATATGTAAATATGTATAAAAATGTTATATATACAAATATGTATGTATATATATATATATGTAAATATGTATGCAACATTTACATATATACACATGTATGTATAGATGTATATAGTTGGGCCAGGCTCGGGCCAGGTTCGAGCTACCTAAGGGCCGAAAAATAAAAAAGCCGGACTTCTTGGGCCCGAGCCCAGCCTGTGTAAAATTTTGGGCTGGACCTGCCCAAGTTGCACCCCTAGCCATTATCTTTGCCTGAACCGAGTCATTGTACCCAATTGGTCCTAAGAACAAAGCCACAACTTCTCCATGATGATTTCTAAAGACTCCCCCTATTCCTACCCTCCCAGGGTTACCAAAGTAGCTACCATCAAAGTTCAGCTTCAATTTATTTGGCTCTGGAGGTTTCAATCCATCTTGATAATTTTTTAAGCATTTCCATTTGTGCAACTTCCTTCCATTTTTTTATTATTTCATTTATTGAGGCATCTTTGAAGATATCAACAACTTATCTGATTTTTATGGTTTCAATTACTTCCTCCTTAGGTCCGCTCTTCTCATTGAAAATCCTATGATTTCTTTATTTCCAAATCGTCCATATCACAGCTGTTGTTGTTACTCTCCATAAGCACTTTGCCCTTTTTTCTGTTGCCGCAAGAAGTTGGAGCTGAATAAGCTGATCATATCTTGTGGGGGATCCCATTTGCAACCAAAGAGTGACGAGAAGTATTCCCAAATGCAAGACACAAAAGACCAAGAGATTAGTAAATGAGGAAGGGTCTCACCACTAGCCAAACAAAGGATACAAACGTGAGGAGAGAGGCATTTAACTAGCCTTCTTTTCTATAGCATGTCGCAGGTGTTAACCTTTCCAAGGAACATTTCCCAATAAAGAGTTTGCACTTTAGGGGGATTGGTTTACACCAAATTTCTTTCACCAGAAATTCTCTCCCACAGGTTCTGAGAGGGTAAGAATGTTGAAAAAGGAAGCACAAGAGAAGAGGCCACCAAGGAGGGAGACCAAACTCTACCATCCACAGAGTTTTGATCCAAGAAGACCTTTACCAATTTTGAAAGTAGGAGAACAAGGGATTCACATTCATTATCCCTTAAACCCCTTCTAAAACTAAAGTCCTAGTTTAAACCAAGCCCTAAGGGTAAGCCAAACCTGACAACAAGCTCAACCTTATAGTTTGATGAAGCATAAAGTACAGGGAATTGCAGTTTAAGGGGTAATTCCCCCAGCCAGAGGTCTTCCCAGAAAAAAGACTTTGTTTCCACACCCCACATCACAACGGATAAAATTAAGAAATGTTGGAAGTACCTCAAAATTTTCTTTCTAAGGGGAGTTTGAAGCTACTTGAGGTGCCAGTTTTGTGTCCCAGCCATTATCCGCTACATCATGGATGCTTCCAATGACCTTATGCCACAACCTTTCTCCTTCTAGGGGAAATCTTCAAAGCCATTTTCCTAGGAGAGTTGTATTTCTCTTAACCAGATTCCTTAAGCCTAATCCTTAATCCTTAGCTTTATACACTTGTTCCCATTTTACTAGATGATCTTTCTTTTCATCTCCCAGCTCCCATAAGAAATTTCTCATTATTTTTTTTCTAATTGCCTTGAAATTTTTACCAAAATTCTAAAGGTGGACAGGTAATAATAGGTGGGTAAGTTGGCTAGAGTGGATCTGATCAAGGTGATTCTTCTCCCCATAGAGATGTATAGAGCTATGGCTCATGGAGTTTTTTGAGTTACTTTGGCTTCAATCCCTGATAGAGGAATTAGGTGTTGAGTATGACAGACCACTAATGTTGTGTTGTGACAATTAGGCTGCCATTAACATTGCCTATAATCCTGTGCAACACGATAGAACTAAACACATTGAAGTTGACAGGCATTTCATTAGAGAAAAAGAGTGGCTTTTGGAGAAGTTTGGATATCTTTCATTGCATCTGAAGAACAGTTAGCTGGCATTCTTACCAAAGGAATCTCCAAGGCCAAGACATCATGATACAAGCAAGTTGGGCATGATTGACATAATTCTGTCCTGGGTCAGCTTCTATGCTGATTTCTTTGCAACTTCTTGTTGTATCCTAAAGCATCTTAATTAATGAAAATTTTCAGAGTTATTGATAAAAAAAAGAGGGGGAGTGTAGAGAAGATGGGTCGAATGGCCCATAGCCCATAGTTGTTATTTCTTTTTTATTCTTCTGTTCTGTTCTGTTAATGGGCCTTCTCTTATGGGCCTGTTAACATCAGTTTTATTTTGTTTAATTAGTTGGCCACCCAATTAAGGGCTTACTTGTAATTTCTGAAAATTAGTGATTAATTTTTTAATGAAAGGATTAGGGGAAGGAGGGATAGTACGAACAACTCTACTCCTCACCCTTCTCACAACTGGACTCTTCTTCTTCTTCTTCTTCTTGCTGCTGCTATCACCTTTGTTTTTTTTCCTTCTTTTAATCAATTTTCTTATTCTTTTGGGACTGTTTTTCTTCTGTGAGAAAATAGGGAGAGAAAGAAAAGAGAAAATACCTGGAATCACTCAGGGTGTCTAGAATCACTCTAAGGCATTAGGAATTACTCACCATAGCTAGCATAAGCTGAAGAAACTCAATAAACTTCATTGCCTTTTCTGTAAAAGGTCCATACATATTTATAGACTCTAAACTCATAATAATCCTAGGAGTCAAACTATTGGACTCATAACAGTCTTAGGAGTCAAACTGTTAGACTCAAAAATCCTAGTAGGACTCAAACTAAGTTGTCATATCCTATTTCAATTCAAAGAAGACTCAATAACTCTAATCCTACTTATGCAATGACTCTAAAATTTTAAACATAAACAAACTATAAATAGAAAACTGAACCCTATTATTAGGCCTGTAAACGGATCAAATTCGAAGAATCAGGCTAGATTCAAATTCGAAACTGATTATAAAGAACAATATTCGAATTCGAATTCGATTTGATATCCGTCGGATATCGAATGTTTCAATTCAAATTCAAATCCGATTATTAAATCGAATATTCAATTCGATTCAAATTCAACCGACATGAGGCCTAGAATCCTAAATGACTGAGTTTGCAAAGAAAAAAAAGTGATTCCCTTGAGAAAAGAGGCAGGGGATTGATGGCGGCA